TGACTTTTGGGTCAAAAGAGCCTGGCCTGAGATGGCTTCTCAAAAAATCCTTGATGAGTTTTTGTATCCAAAATTGCTATATATTTACTGAGGGAGGTCATGGTGTAGGAAAACAAATAATCGAGTTGTATAATTAACACCCAGTAAATCTATTGAGAGACAAAAAACAAAAAAACCCTAAAACACCAAAACCCTCTTTGCTTAGGGGTGGCAGATGTGAGTGTGTTATAATTTGAGAATCTGTAAAAAGAGAGAGGAAAAAACAGATACTACTGATATTGTTTTAAAAAAATCATCAAACTAAAATTCAGCAACACAGTGCCAAAGAAGTTTTGATCTTTAAAATGATAATAATAATATATTGTCATTTTTGTCTTCAGACAATTGAGAGCAAGTAGGTTACTTGATACTTTTTTCTCATTTTCATATGCTATATTATTTCTGACAGTTATGCATGGCATTTTCAAAACAAAGATATAGACACTTAAACCTTTGGGAGACAAAGTAGCTTTCATGTCATGTTTATGAAACAGAGCTCACCCAAAATATGTATAGTACCTCTCTATATCTTCATGTAAATACATCTTTGTTTAAAATATATCAGTTCTAATCATCTTTTAAATACTGCTGTATTTGAGATCTCTTTAAAAAAGACATATTTTTAATGCTAGCCTTCTTCAGCTACAAATTCATTGTAACATTTGTTTTTTGATTACTTGCTTTAATTGTGCACTATTGTTTTTAATGACTGTTTAATCCCCATGTGATATATCCCAGTGTCTATTGTTCAAATGCCTTCGCTTACTTTCTTAGAGTCACTGGGAAAGTATATGCTTTCTTATATGCTTCCCATATACTACATTGGCTCAAGAGACGCATATTGTTACACAGAATCATATCTGTGTATAACTGTATTTGAAACTGAAGTCATTGTGTTGATGTGACTGCCCTGAGAGGCAACAGAATCCCAACAAATGGCCTACAGTGTAGCCTAGAGTAAAGTGCATTGTTTTATTGGAAAAAAGATTTTGTGTGTAATAAAATTATATGCTGGAAGAGATCAGGGAGTCTGCACAGGTGTTAGGGTTTTGTTTTTCTTTGATTTAGTACTTCCATTATGAAATCCTGAAGACAATTATATTTTCACAATAACCTTGTCATGACAGTGTGTGATCTGAATAAAAAAATTGTTTCCCCTTGGCCCCGTTCACTCTCTGTGTCTTTCAAACAGAAGGAACTAATTAAGGCAAAGCTAAGGGAATTGAATTCAAAGTTTGCATTGCTCATGTGACCTAATCTTTTTACAATGGCATCTTTTGCAATCTGTATAAGAATACATCTTTCTTAAGCCATGGAAGGATGCCATTCACGCACTGTCTTCTCCAGAAAATCCTCCCAAGAAAAAGAAAAGAAGAAGAAAAATGTCTTGAATGTTCAATAAAGATTTCAGGAAGTTGGGATCTATGCAGCTTTGCTTTTTATCACTTTGTTAACATGCAAAAATACTGTATAATAACTTACGTTTGTTTCATTTGAAAGACCTTAGCTGTTTTTCTATGTCAGAAAAAGAGAAGGAGGGGGACCTTTCAAAGAATAAGATTAAATTGTGGCATAAAAGTCTGTTAAGATGTAAAGAAATGTTGAATTAATGTAGTGGATTAGCAAATAGAGAAAGATGCCAAGAAGTGGGATTCATGAATAAAGAAAATGAAGATATTGTGCATTTGATTTTGTGATTTTCCACAGTTAAAATAAAACTGCTGCATGAGAGAGAGAGAGAGAGAGAGAGAGAGAGAGAGAGAGAGAGAGAGAGAGAGTGTTTCAGAGAGTTTTTTTGGGTGCTAAAAAAATAATGAACTGGGATTAATATAGAGGAAAAAGCAAAATGCTTTCCAAAGGATAGGTATGTGAGTTCTCTTGAGCCAGAAAGAATAATGTTGGACCCAGCCCTTTCAAAACACTTGGACTGAAATACAGCAGGCAAAGCTCCAAAGTGACTTAAGGGCTCTTGTCACAAATGAGCTTGAATGTGTTTCTGCTTAAATTAGTCTATAATGTGCATGAAAAACCTATGTTTGGTAAAATATACATTCTGTTGAAAAATGGCTTTGTTCCATTTTTCTTTTTTTGATTAACATGATCTGCATGTATTATAGTGTGAGAAGCAGCAGTTCCTATGTGAAAATGGATACATTCCTTGCACCATTTTTGTTCAGATCTTTTTAAGCATATTAAGTGCAAGGAAGATGTTTTGAGGAAAGAGCAAGAAGTTAGTAAACAGGATTCAGATTTCTAGTGTTTCCATCTTCAAATTACTTCCCTTTTAGATTTCCTATTTGGTTTCTGTCATTTTTTTAAAAAAATTGAGTATCAAACTGCCTATATGGAAATGTTATGCTGCAGACTTCAAAACCACAATGTTCAAATGTAGAAAATACATTTTTGGTCTGAATATAGAATTTTAATATATGCAGTCACTTCAGTTACATATTTTTGTACAAAAAATAACAGACACTCTATTTAAAACTTTTGAAAAAACAGTTCAGTAAAATATATATAATATTATAATGTGCTCAAGATATAGATATGGACTACATTATACTATTTACAGTAATAAATTTTATTTTCCAAGAGAATCATTAGGCACATAAAAATACTGTAGTCATTGGATGTGGTCAAGTGGATTTGTTTTGAAATTGAATTCCATGATGGATAACATTTTCTTTTTAATCTCACAATGTTTAATCTATCATATTTACATCTTATGTTTTCTAGACTATGTCTTATGTTTTCTATAGGTTATGTCCAGAATATGAACTATTTTGACTCTGGATATAACTTTCTTTTGCCTTATATGTGCATGTCTCAGAGACATTTAGTTTCCCCTATTGGAAACAATTCTTGTTCAATAGGAGGCATTTTATGTTTTTCTGTGCAATTGGATAAGAAATGGGATGCTGATAATACTATTTTCTGCAAATGTTAACAGTTAGCCAAAATCCAGCATTGCTTTTTTTTTTAACTTTATTAAGTTTTAAAAATTTAAAATTAACAGAAAATTAATAATCAAGAGAATGAATAGAAGTCAGAATATATAGAGAAAAGGCAGATAGAGGTGCAATAAAATATAAAACAGAAACAAAAATGCACACAAATAATAACTTCAACTTCTTTGCAGCAGATATAAATAAAACTTGAATTCAACTCTTGCTCTACAATTACAATGTCACATCTATTTTGAATAAACTACAAATTTTTTAATACCAAAATCCATATGTCATAATTTCATTTCTTTTCTGCAAAAAGTCCAGAAGAGGCTTCCAATTGATATTAAATTTTGCCAATGTCTTTTGTATAATCAGAACAGTTAATATTGCCATCTCTGCCAGCTCCATCAGAAATGACAAGCAGTCTTCCATTGTAGGTATTGTCAAATATTTCCATTGTTGGGCACATAGAAATCTTGCTGCCATTATCACATATAAGAACAAAATACTGTGCAATTTTTCCATAATTTGGTCCACCGTCCTTAACAAAAATGTCTCTGGTCTCAATTATACATTAACCTTCAAATTTTTCTTTGTTATTCTATGTGTTTCAGTCCAATGATTTTTAGATTTTAGCTAAGATATCTCTTCTTGGTATATAAAATAAAATACTCTATGACTATTGGAAACATAGCCAAAATTCATCTTGCAACTTGAACACTATTTAATTATGTAATAATTAAAGCAAGCAGAAATCTTAAGTCTCTAGAGTTGTCTGTTTTATGTTACTTTAGTCCAATGAACATCAAAGTAAACAAATACAATATATTATTTTTATGGATGTTGCATCAAACTTTGTAAAGTTATACTCCTTAAAGAGATTCTATAAATGGCTTTCTTAATAAAGTTGAAGTGACTTGCTCTTTTATAAATGTTGCAAGGGAGTGCTGAGAAAATTCTGGAATCAAATCCCTAGAGAGGAATTTAAAGTTCCCCTTGGTAGTGAAATTTACTTAATGTAAAACAATCAAGAGAAGATATGATAAGATGAGAAAGCACTAGGAGCAAAACTGAAAGTATATATTGATTGTTATAGAAACACAGGAATAAGAATTGATTAAAGACAAGTTTAGCCAGGGGAGGCAACATTGGTGTATTAAGGCATTGGTGTGACTCCAGATACCTCCCTTGAGATCTGACATTTATTTATTATATGGCTACCTATCCCTTATAATGACTCTAGGTTGCTGATTTGATTTTTTTAAAAAGACTGGAAATAATGGGAAATGGGCATGTTACAGAACAAAGCACTAGCTTCTTAGCTTCATGTTGATTTTCAGGAATACCTTTCAGCTCACTAAGGCTCCATCTTGGGAGGCTACTCATTTTATATTAAAAGGGTGTGTATGACTGGCTTACTCATTGTTTTGTGCATGACACCTCTTCCATAACAGCCATTTCCTGGTCATGCCTATCATAATTCGACCTTTTTGAATTGAAAAAGATCATTGATACCTGGACCAGATGGTAAAGTTAAAAACACTAAAGTGAGCTATAAATATTGGCAAACATCTACTCTTCTTTTGATCTTTGCCATTTATAAAAACCTCACAGATAGCTTTCTCTGTTTTCATTGGCCTTTAGTGTTGAATAATTTTTTATTTTTAATTTCTGCCTATAATTGTTTTTAAATACACATTTGTGGGCTAAAACATTTTCTTAAAGTATCTTCATTCTACGCAAAGAACAAAATGAGATTTTTTTTTCCAACCAGATTTCTACACATATAGGATTATAGTTCTAATTCTAAGCCTACTTGTTCAAAAGGCTTTCATTGGATTTAAAATTGTATCTCCCAGTTGAGCAACTTGCAATCAAGAATACGATAACTAGTTCATTACTTGGCTGGTAATTATTCATTTCCTTTTGAAAATGTCTGTGGATCCTCATATGAATAAATAAAAGAACAATTTATTATCCAGCTAATCTTTTTTCCCCTTTCACTTCTCTAAGCGTGCAAGATTGGATACCACAAAGCCTTCTCAACAGATGTTGCCTGTGCCAAGTGCCCACCTCACAGTTTCTCCATCTGGGAAGGTTCCACTTCTTGCACCTGTGATCCAGGCTTTTTCCGAGCAGAAAACGATGCTGCCTCCATGCCCTGTACTCGTAAGTCAGATGCTTTCATTTATTAATTTTCCTCTCTTTCTTTTTCTGCTGTTTCAATAATTTATACATAGAACACTCCCCAGTGATGAACATCTTCCTATGAACGATGTCTTGTTGGTGACAGGAACATTCAGTAACAATTCCCTTTTAAACAAGTCAACACAGCATGTCAGCACCAGGTTCTCTCTCCTGGCACACATCAGAAAATGAAGTTTGCAATTAAGTTACAATATGTAGGTCAACAGTAAGAACAGGAGCTCCAGCATTTTCCCTCCACTTTTTTTTATAACTCCAGTACCTGTACTGTACAAGGTTGCATAATGAGGAGCAATTGTAGGCTTACAGATCTTACTTGAAATAGAAAATGGAGATAGTGGGAGGAAGATACTTGAAAAAAAACAGTCGTGTAAAAGTTGATTTGTAGTAGCTCTAAATTCGTTTTGTGTCTGGCTGCTTAATCTGTCTAATGGGTAAAATTAACACACTGTTTTAACATAAGAGCTGATTCACTCAGTTACTTTTACACAGTAAAGATGCTGCCTGTAGGGCAGGGGTACCTGAACAAGAACTATATTAATTATATCCCAAAGACTGTACTCCCCAAACAGGTGAAGCTAGAAGTAAGAGACTGAACCAATAGAATAAATTAATACAGTAAATACACTAATTATTTTTACATTTAATTACATTAATTTCTTGGCATAGTCAGAATTAAAATTTGGTGGCAACCTTTAAATGTACTATGAACCTAAAATATTTTAGGGGTAACAGGAAATGCAGCTCATTATTGTTAACCGTTTTCTAGAATAAAATATAATTATTATTTGCTATGAGTTGACTAACACTCAGGTTACTGAAAAAAATGTTTTTAATAATCAAATAAAGTCTTTGTGAGTAGTTGTGTTAAATGTTTTTTTCTACACTGCATCAGGAATCATATTACGCAGTTTGCAAAATCCTTTTTATTCTAGTGGTTAGACTATAGTTTTCATCTGTTTCCACTTCAAAATCACCAAGAACTGTACCATCAGTTTTTAACAGTTATGATTTTAAGGTGTTTTAAGGGCTATAATAAGATGACTTAAGTCTAAATGTGGTTTAGGAGAGATAAAGGAAGAGATAATAACAAGTGTATAACAATCATATCATGCTAATGATGCAAATTACATAGTTGTGTGAGACATGGATGCAAGTATGTAGTGGCAGAAATTTTATGATGCTGTGATTGGATTGAGTCATCCTCTCGATGACAATATTGTAAGATATATATACCACTGATGCTTTCTTCTGGTCACGAGCTTCAGAAAAATGATATATTTCATTGGTGGTAAAGATAAAAAGCCCTTATTTACTATTTGTAGGTCACAGGTAATTACTAATGAAAGCTTTTTCAATTAGGAAGATCCTAATCCATATCGAGTTTTGTATGTCATAAGCTGTACCTTTCATTTGGCACAGAAGAATGCAAGGTTATCTACCACGTTTTGAGTCACTTCAAAAATGCTAAATGAACAAATAAATAATCTTTGGTATCAAGAGCTGCAGAACCATAAATATTTCCCAGAATAGTAATTTTTGTTGAAAAGGTTAATAGGTGCTCCTGTATATAAAGCTGCTTTTCTCTCTAGATCATGGCAAAGAAATTAGCTCTCTAGAAATGGCTGAGCTATAGTTTTTTGATACTCCTATCTCATTATCTTACCTAAATCTCTGAAAACTTTTCAGTAATATCTAGAGTAACAGAAGTTCCCATTCCTAAAGTATGCCCTTTCTCTTCTTTTTTTTCATAGTCATAAAAGGTCTGTTCACACCAAGTTCAGTACTTGTACTCGAATGAATTAAACCTGATACACATACACATGTCTGCCTGATTGCCTTTCTGCCTTTAAAATCTCAGGAAATAGAGCAAACGTTGAGGATACATGCTGAGTCGCAAGATAGAAGATTACATCTTAATTTGTCAAGAATGCTAGTAGCAAGCAAGAGCAGAGAAGTGGAACTTGAAGCATGCTCATGTCACAAGGGCAATGATTTCAATGTCCTTGGACTACTCAGTTTATGAGCAAGAGCACTGATGCTGCAGTTCTGTGTAACAAAATTCAGCTGGTATGTTTGTATGGGAAAATTCAGTTGCTTCTTTCATAAAACAGTCAATTTAATTAATCTGTTGCTTCCCAAAATGGAAATTGGATGAGGTACTTCTTAGTACTGAGATCAGTACAAAGGTCAAAATGAGATTGATGTTTAATGAGAACAAATTAAACTGTATTAGCTGTATTAATCCATATTCTTGGATTCTATTTAACTCTGAATATCCTGAACATTCTCTAAGAAGAGCTCAAGGGACAAACCCAAACAAGTTTATGCTGCTTAATTCAATCCTGAGCAGCTAAGCTTTTTTTTGCTTGTTTGTGTGTTTTTATCTATTACCCTCCATGCCTTACACTGATGTATTTTTAGCTCTATACACCTTTCATACGCCTTGTTGCTGCAGAGAATAGAGTAGGGAAATGTAAATTTGCAAATGTAAAAGTTACAAGTCAAATAGAACATTCTCCAGCAGGATGGCTGTAGAGTCCAAATGGATGGGTTCTATGACGGCCTTCCTGCCTGGCAGACTGGGTAAAAACTTCGGCCACACCCCTTCCTTTGGGCGTGACCCCAGTTTTGACTCAGTCTCGTAGCCTGGTAGAAGTGCGAGAAGCAGCTCTCTTCCAGTTTCCTCCCCTTTCTTTCTGCGTTAGCAAGCAGGGATCTCTGGCAGCTGAATAGGACACCGACGGACTCCCAGCCAGGATCGTCGGAGTGGTGAGAAGATCGTCAGGGCGGTTAGCCAGGGGGGGCTCGGGCCGGTCACTGGGTCTCCCGCGGATTCTCGACCTGCCAAACAGCTGTTTGGTGCGGACATTTCCCGGATCGCTCGCCGATTTCAGGTCCGCCGGGCAGCTGAGTGGCACGGACGCCACTCCGTCCGGCGGAGGAGCTGAGGCGCCGCTCAGCGCCAAACAGCTGAGCGGCGCGGGAAATACAACCGGCGGTCAACGGAGCCGCTGATCAGCTGAGCGGCGCGAGAAGCGCAGCGCGCCCAAACCGACCGGCAGAGCCTCAGCGCCGTTTTTTCTCCCCCAGCGGAGAGGCGCAGCCCCTTAAGGACAAAAAGAGCCACTCGAGCCGGTTAATTACCCTACCGCTGGCTATTAAGGACCGCCATTGTTGGAGCCTCGTGGCTCATCCGGCTACTATTGGGAGGCAGAGCTTCCTCCCATTCGCCATTTTAAACGAGCAGTTTAGCCCGCCGTTCTTTTTTCCCTTTACATTAAGGCATTGGGGCAGGAGGAAGGAAGAGGAATAAAAGGAAGAGAACTGCTATCAGTTCTGAGCGTGGTCTGCTACCACAGCCACAGACCGGGGGAAAGAGAGATATAAACTGCACTTTTGTCTGGACTAGGTGAGGAGGTGAGGAGGAATATTTTTTGTCCTAACTGTTCCTATAGTGACCTTTAGTCACTGCCTTGCAGGATCTTCTGTCCAAAGAATCCTGTCTGTCCGGCCATTGTTGGTATAGGCAGAAGAGGGCACAGCCCCAGGCATCTGCATCTGATCTGCGTACCTCATTCCCCCATTCCAGGCATTGCCTACTCGGGGTGTCTGGCACAATGGCAGACAATGTCTCGTATTCAGTCACACAGGTCCCTCAATTGTCCCCCCCACAGCAACAACAAAAACGCAGATCTTCTGAATCAGAGGTGGGGGGGAAGAAGAAAGCTAAAACAAAGCACCTTTCTCAGAAGGGACAGTCTAAAACGGCTGAGCGAGAGGCTTTGAGGAGACATTTGGCTTTAGAAAGGCAAATTAGCAGGGCACAGAGAACCAATGCCAATGGGATAAATTTGGTTTCCCCTGTCCCAGTGGTGGCGCCCAGCACAGAACCTACTGCCGAGGAAGTGCTCAAGACTTGGTCTCCTCCTGGGGAAACTGAACAGTTAGATTCCTCCAATCCCTCCTCACCAGCTTCTTCACCCGACCACACTCCAGCGCCTCATCCCAGCGACAAGGCGCAGGAGAACATATGGTCGGCACAATTTCATGCATTCATGCAGGATGCATTCTCCCAGTTCATGGCTTCTAAGGGGCAAGTGGCCTTTCACACACCCCGTAAGGGATGGGCTAGGCCACCCCCTACCAGCATCTCTGAAACTTCCTCTCAATTGGGAGAGGGTGACTCAGTAGACCTTGACATGTCAGACATGCCCCTCTCGGAGGACGAGGAGACTACACCTGAGCAGACAACGAGCTCTGGCCTCTTTAACCCAGCGCTCCTAAAATCACTCCTGATAAAGGCAGTTTCCACAGTCAACCTAACATCAGTACAGGATGAGAAGCCCTCAACAAGCAAGGAGGCCAATCCTCTATTTGCCAAAAAGGTTCCACAAGATAAGTACATTCCATGCGTGGAGGTCTTTATGACTACGCTGGAGGAACAATGGTCCTCACTTGCAAGCCCACCGGCACCTAACAGCGCGGAAAGAAAGCTTTTCAACCTATCTCCCTCTTTCTCTAACATGTTAGAGGTTCCTACTGTAGATAACCCCTTGATTTCATTATTTTCTACCTCCGCGATTCCAGGAGACATGGCGGAGGTCTTGAGACCTGAGGAGAAGAAGTTTGAACACTCCCTCCGGCGTTCCCATATGGCTGCAGCCTGGGCGGCCAGAGCAGCCACTTCATCATCATTCTTCGCGAGGGCCAGTATCATGTGGCTGAGGGAACTGCAAGGCACGGTGCCTCCAGACCAGGTCAGAGTACACCAAACATTGGCCAAGCTCCTCGCGGCCTCCCAATTCGTGTCTGACGCTTCCCTGTACGCAACAAAGTATGCGGCAAGATCCATTGCGGCCACAGTGGCCTCGCGTAGGCTACTGTGGCTCAAAAATTGGAAGACAGACCTGAGGTCCAAATGGCGTCTCTCGACGTCCAAATACAGTGGAGTAGCCCTATTT